GAGATGGTGATATATAAGGATCTCCCATGTACAAGATAGAAAAATAAATAGTCTCTATAACGTTTTTTTTTCCCGTACATAAATAATATTTTGAGGTATAGTCAAAATATTTTGCTCTCTTTCATAGTAAAACGTGCTGTTGTATTGGACACACACTTACGTGCTGTTGCTAGGAAGAGACAACTGTGCTATAACCTAATCCCTCACTATTTAGATATGGACTTATGAATCCCATATTTTTATTCTAAATTTAAGTTCAGCCATCGTAGCTAATGCCCTTGATGCTATCTCAAATTGCTGTCATTACACGGATCGCTAGAAATTGGAGGTAAGAGTAAAAAAAAAAAAAAGAAAAGAAAAGAAAGAAAGGAAAAAAAGGTTCAAAATTAGATGATGGATAAAGGTTTAATCAATTTAATTTTATCACCAAATCCAGGCCCTTCCTCTTGAGCTGTCAGGAAATGAGATAAGCAGAGCACATCTTGAAGCACGACACAATACTGTCGTGGGAAGGAGTTGTGTCCCTGAACCTAGCCAAGATGAAACATGCTCATTTATTACTTTGGCATTGCAGGGTGATGAAGTGCCAAAGCTGGTTTCCTCCCTCCATCCTTAGCACAATCTTTCTATTTCATTAATTTTTCATGGAATTTCATTTCACAATAATCTTGCCTCTCTCACCCATCTGCTGCACTTACTTGGTTTATTTTGTCAACTTGTATTTCTTGTCCCAGAGTATCTGTAGCAAGCACAGGTCCCTCGCTCTCTCTATTGAAGCATCTGAATTTGCATTAATACCTGATTTACGCTCCCCCTCCCAGGGGCTTCTGAAAGGGTGGCCCTATCAGTATGTTCAGAATATTGTAACTCTCTTCTTATTGTATATTGTATTGTATATTGTAACTTTAGTCTACTTTTAAACGTTTTCATCTGAAAACAAACTTTGTTCTTCTTTTTAAAAACATTTTTTTTTTAAGGAGGTCCTTATTTCCCTTTCTGTTTCTACACAAAATACGTTCAGGGCACTGGAGAGAATTCTGTCAATAAGCTATTTGGAATCGATTATATTTCAGACACACGCCTACCTTTGGAAAACAAAACAACTTGGAAAACACACCTCAAGCCCAGTAAATTCATGATAAAACCACTGAACATTAAAATGGATTTATCTAATACGCTAAACAAAATTTTCTAGTTGGGACATGCCACACACATATATTAAAAACTAGATAAATAAAAATGAAAACTGCCACAGAACCACCAACAAGAATGTGCTGCTTTTCTGGCAAACATCTGTATTTATTTTACATCTGCTCTTTGAGAAATTAGGTCTTTTACTTACCATTAGGTGTTAAAGCCATCATTTTCTAAACAAGTGCAAATATTCCTACCTATAAATAGCTTACAAAATAACTGCGGATAACAAAATATTTTAGCCTCTTAATGCACTTTCTGCAAGTAGTGTAAAACTAAATGAAATCTCTGTGTAAATACGTTTGCAGCGTGATGTGCACTGCATGGACAGTTAGTGATACCACTAATAGCAGGGTCTTATTAAACCCCAAGACACATCCACTATAAACATAAAAATAAAGAAAATGTAAGGTAATAACTGAACAGTATCTCTGAAATATATTTGAATTTGTGCTGTACATTAGAGTTACACTCTCTACTCTCTGGTCTGCATATAGAGAAATGCAGCCTCTCCTTCTTACAGTATGTCCTTTCCATTTTGTTTTATCCTAAATAAACATGGAAATGTAGCTAGTTACCGGATGGAGTTTGCTTTCCCCATTGCAAGTGCCTCTGAGGAAACTCCTGAAACAGGGCGCCTGGGTAAATGAAATGAAAAACAGAGCAAAGAATTGTAAACAAACAAGCCAAAAATTCTCATTGACAGTATAGGAAAATGAACAGAAAACTGGAAAGTAGATAGGAAGGAGGAAAATAATGGGATCAAATATGGAGTAATATCTGCTTATGCTCCAAGGCATACCAGGAAGCATAAAGGTGTTTTATAAAGCAATACAACTTAATCACCTGGCATGTAAACACCTGGCATGTAAACACATAGAATATCAGTATAATAGATGTATTTGTAGAAATAATCTAATAAAATGGTCCTTTGAAGACTGTCTTTGTATATGTTTCATTTTCTGATAGTGATTAATACTCAATTAAGATTTAGCATTGAACAAATGTTCCTTTGTGTAAATTTGTGTTTCTACACACACAGACACACATATGGATGGATATACACACTTGTTTTTTCCCTTTAAAACACTAAAATATGCTTTCTGTAAAGACTAAAATACACACTGGAGAACAGTTAAGTGCATACTTTTTCATGTAATCCTCTATAAAGGTTTTCTCAATTGATTAAAATAAATCACATACTGTACATTATCTGCAAAACATTGGAACTCAGATTTATTTATGGAAAATGCATTAATTTATGGAGTTGAGAAACATTTTTCTTGTACTTAACTTTTAACACAACACCTTTGTAACAGAATTTGTTTAACAGGTCTTAGTAGAAATAGGTGACCAGGATAGCAGGTAAATACCTAAAATAATAAAATCCAACAGGTTTAATTTTAGATAGATCTTATATTATAGCCTTCACTGCTAATGTATATTCATATATGGATATGTATGTATGTATGTATTTATAAGCCTATGAGGGGAAAATAGTATTATCAATGTATCTGTCCCTTGTCCCTTGTAATAGAGACATGAGCCAGTTAAAATATTTTTAAACCAGTTACAAACATATATACACCAGGAATCGAACTCTTTATGAAGTAAGTCTAGTATTGGACCAATAAATAAAATCCGTTTTGGAATTCCACCTTACCTCCCAGACATGTATTCCACAAATAGTTAGCATTTAGCAAGGTCTGTGTTTCTAAGGTATTCACCTTCCATATTATTTTAACAAAACACAAAGCTACCTACAAAACTGCAGAAAATACAATTTTATTAAAAAGATCCTTGCTTTTGTTTATTGTCTTATAAAGTAAAACTAACAGGTGTGATTGCCTATAAAACAAACAAAACATGGGAATCTTTCCTTCATACTTAAATGAATTATTGACTCATTTCTCTGGCCAAGTTTAGGGTAACTAAAGCTGCAGCCAAGTTTAACTTCCTGAAACAGTAGTTTTGCTTAAGTATATGTAACTTATTACAAAGTCAGTACAGCAAGGTTTAGGTAAAAGCACAAGAATCTTTCAAATCCACATAAATTGTGTCTGGGGCTTTTCCCTAGCTAAGTACCTCAGACAACATTTCTTGTGTAATGCAGCACAAAAGCACAACTCCAGAAGTCCCTTTGGTATCAGATGTTAGAAAACATTAAGGATTTGGGGAAATAAATCAAGGGCATAGGAACACCGCTGTGTCCCCTCCTGCCCCCAACCCTCATTTCAAGAATGTGTTCTTATTTGCAGGTTTGTTAGTTTTACTTCAGTTACTGAAATTTTGGAGTTTATCAATGAAAGGGTAAACATAAAATAATGACAATTAAATTGCATAGACTTCATCTTTTTGTATTTAGCCAGTTCATTTCAAGTTGCCCTAGAAAGCCTGTTCTGAAACCTTTGTTTCACCCACTGGTTCTGACATGAGACACTAATTAAATGACACTTGGATAATTGACATTTAGGGCCTCCAAACTGCACGTTTAATTTCCAGAATCAGAAGAAATAATATGCCCAAATGCTGGAAAACATCATCTTGAGCTGATGAGCTAGGTGACAAAAACTTATCCTAGGCCTGCGTAATGATGACAATTACAGATTAGGTGAAATTTAGCGCTCTTATAAACACCATGGTGTTAACATCTTTGCAAACTAATAAATTGCAGTTAAGCGTTTATGACATTCTGCTTATTACAACAATTTATTTTACTTCAAAGTATGTACAGTATCTACAGTAACTTTAACTGTTCAGGCACAGCACCAAGAATCTGACAGTAGTCTCATCCTTTATGGGAAAAGGGGACAGCTTTGAGAAAAGCTTTAATCTTAAGCATACTCACAACCTGCAATGACATCCTGTAGAGTGATTCTTTTTTTGGGTGGGGGTTAGGATTAGCAAAAATACAAATCTATTATTTCTATAATAAAGATTTACTTGTAGAAGTGGAGCAAATTTAATGCATTTGCAAACTTTATTACAGCAAAACTCTTTGAATATTAATAACAAGGCAAAAAATGACAGTGTGCCTGTAGCAACCTGTCAGCAAACAGTTTTCTCATCACCCTGATTTCTAGCTTGTTTCACTACCAACAAGATGATGGATCCTCTATCCTGTTTCAGATACTAATTTATGCTCCATAGGATACACGCACATGAGACATATTAGACAGTTCTGTCTCCTTGTAAACGGTTATAGGACAAAATTAAGATAAATTAGAATGTGTTGTATGTTCACAGAAAGCTAGTGTCAGTGGTATGAGCATCTGAATCTAAAGGCAATTTGTAGTTTCAAAAACTGGCAAATGTATCTCTTCCTTTTATGCCCTTTTTGTCCATCTAGGACAGCTCACTGTATTATTTCATGAAGAATCATGTGATAATGTTACCTCTGACAGGGTCAAAGGAAGCAGTGGCGATGGACTGTAGAGTTGTACTGCAGTACCTGGATAATTAAACCAATTCCGACCAGTACAAAGAAAGAAGGAAACCAAACATTTCCCCTTTCCTTTAACAAATAACAGTCCCTCCTTTTTTTCAGGCATTCCCTTGCATGCAGCAATTACAAGACCCTCTTTGTTAAACAAGCCTACAAGGAATTACAAGGTAATTCACACTCCCGGTACCCACCAGTCTGTGGAGACAGCATCCCAGAGGCTGCCAAAAGTGCACATCTTCAAAACAAATAGACAACAAAAGCAGCAGCAGCCCAGAGACAGAGTGAGAGCGAGAGAGAAAGACAGAGCAAGAGGAAGGGAGAGAATGAGAGAAAAGAAAGGGAGAAGGAGAGCATATCTTACCTTTCCTCTTTGATCTCCTCCTCCTCCTCCTCTTGGACTTGCATTTGAGTTGACTACCTGGACCTCCAGAAGCTCTGTTGTTCCCCAGAACGGATGTCATGACTGTAGTTTGGTAAACAGGGAAGCACAGGGGGGTTTCTGTCTTGTATAATGTCACCTTTTTTCTTTCTTGTTGCTGCTTTCGAGATCTGTGGGTAGGCTTCACTTTTTAGTACTGCTTTTTTTTTATTGTTCTAATTATTGTTTGTCAGTAGCTGGGTTGCTGGGTCTGGTCTTCTGAGCTGGCATGCTTACATGCTGGTAGTGAGAACTGTGGGAAGGTACAGACTGAAGCTGTTCAAGAGCTCTGACTCAGGCTGCCTTCCTTTATCAGGGCTGTAAATGCACTGCTTCTACTTTTTGCACCTCTGCTAGTTGTTTGGCACCAGCCACTTTGAAGCCAATCATGCAGGGAGCTTGTCTATTTGCTGCTGCAAAGTCTAATTAGGTCCAATCACAACTGTCTCCTGGCTCTGACATCAGCACCACCAGCCCTCTCCATCCCCTGTCAGCTTGCAAACTCAGCTCCCATTTGGGCTGACGGATATGCCTAGGACCTGATAGAAAGGCAGGGAGAACTGCACTGTAGGGAATAAAAACATACTGCCAGTTTATCTGGGAGAAGCCTAAGGGGCAGCTTACAAGAAGGGATGCTACAAAAGGGATTTCAAGCCTCTTTTATTTTTTGCTTTAGACCATATGGACACTAAGCATTGTGCTTCCAGACGCACAGAAATGCTCTGTTTTCCCCAACCGAATAGTTATTACTAGTTCATTTATTGCACTGCTTATTGTTTCAAGGGGAATGGTGTGGGTTACTATTGAAGCAATGCTGAACCCACAACCTTATGCAAGAAGCCAAGCTTAACATTTCCCAGTGAATCTCTAGTTGTTCTTCAGGCAAAGGGTTCACAAAAAGATGTGTGTGTCGGGACTCAGATTTATTTCAAACATATTACAACACGACGTTTCTTTTAGGAAACTGTGTGGCAAAGCTTATAGGGAGAGAGAAAAAGATGGCAAGCACATTCTTGGGAAAAAGCTTGAATGTAAAACCTTGCCTTCCTATGAAGAAAATAAAAGTTATACAGCAGACAGGGTACTGACTGAATGAACAAGGAGCCCCTGCTCCCTTTCTGGGCCTTCTTAGTTCTCCTCCAAATTTAGAATATGCATCTGGACCCCTCAGCTGCTATCCCAGAAGAGAAAAAAAAAATCAAGAAAAAATATACTAAATAATTAATATCATCATTAGTGTCTGCTCCATTTGTAATAAGCCATAGAAGTACAAGTGTAATAAGCCATATTGGGCCCTTTTAATTTAAAACTTCCTCTCATCTGCATGTAGGCTACATCCCCTGCTGTGAAGTACTTATACTAACTTTTCCAGTGATTGGAAACCATATATGTTCAAATGATTTTGGTTCCAGAAACTGTGTGGGTACACTGACCTGTACCCTACTTTGATTTTCATTTAATTAAATACAAAAAAGGAGTAAAAATAATGTTTTCCTTGAAAATGATAAAGAATCCTATAAATCATATATAAATGTCTTAATATGACTAACGTGTGACCTCATGCACATCAGGAAAAACAAGCTTTGTAATGTTGAGTACTGCATTCTGGATACAAAAGTATTTTAGACATTGCCAAAATAATCAACACTGCACAAGACACAGAGAAGGCAGCACCTGCCCGGATGACTTTATAAAAGAAAGCCCCAATCCTCTCAGAGCAAAACAAACCACAAGTCTGAATTTAGACCAACAGCAGCTTAAAGTCAAAGAAATGTTATCTGCCCCTGTATGGAAACAGGATCTGTGTATATACATACATCCCTTTGCAGAATATTGTATGCTTTCCGAATCACTTGTACATGCCCATCATCATGTAGGAGCAGTGAAATGTTTGACCTGCTAGAGAGCTCAAATAAACAAATCCCTAAAGGGATTTTCCCCCCACCATTTTCTGGCTCCGGAGGCATATGAGTTGATATGCATGGGGGGCAACCAGAGAGACTATTCCATCCTCCTGCATTTTTGTCTTTGACTTTCTCTTCTGGCTATTCCAAGCCTAAGCAATGTTTACCTCATCTGCAATTTGCACTTTATTGTGAAACAGCGATGCCAAAGAATAACTCTGGCTTACAAGTCCAAATTCGGCTGCAGTAGTAAGTAATCAAACTTAGAAACCATCTTGGAAAAAATTGGCATCCTGTATCTATGCACGAACAGGTTATAAACTCTAAAAGAGAATCATGTGTCATTTAAAAACAAAAAGATTTATAGATGGTAAGGGGCTGGAAAGGACCTCGCAAGATCACCGTTATATGGTAATGCCTGAACATTCACCAATTTCTAGTACAGAATTTAAACTTCAAGTGTTCTTTTATTGTTCCAAAATGTTATTGTATTTTAATTGCTAAGAAGATTGGAAGTGGAGTTTTGAAATGTTATGGGATCGGTTGTCTTTGTGGCATTGCCAGTCCCCAAAGAGGGCATTCCACCAAACCAATATGAAAAATGTGACAGTCTGGCCCACTCTCAAAAAAACATCACTTGGTGCTAACAATCTCATGAAATACTTTCATTTCCAAGCAAGGTTATCAAAAAAGCAAGAACAAGCCAACTTCAACAACACCTGAGCTCTGCTGATGATACAGTTTCCTCCCAGGAAAGCTTCAGGGCAGTTCATGACAGTGAGGCAGCTCACGTTATACAGATGAAGAACCCTCTTATAGCCCAGGTCAGTAGTGAAGGTCAGGACTAACCCCTTACAGTCAGACAACTGCTTTTGACATCATCAAGCACAAAATGTTGCACAACTGGCCAAGGGTGACAGGATTCCTTAAATTTGCTATGTTCATCCCTCTCCTGGGAGAGCAAACAGCGTCATCTTCTCTACTAGCTCAATCCTGTGTCCAAACTCTTATTTAAATTGCACACAAAACTTCTAAGGGGAATCAAGACAGTAAGTACTTGGACTGCTCTGGTCTCCCTCTCACCTGAGGCAGAAGACACCTATCCTAACTCATTTCAAGCACTGCGAGAAAGACAAGGGGCTTAAGGTCAAATTAGAAAAAGGAAACTGAGGCAATGTTAGTTAGAGAAAAGTGAATGTGACAACTACTACAACTTCTCCCTAAACTATGGACTAATAATCAGCAGAGTCTGCAGGCTTGCCCAAATACCGGTTTCCCTCGCTTTATGCAGGCTCTGTATGTGCAAATTTACTCTATGCAATGCCCGTTTTTATACCAAAAAATTGTTATATGCAAAGTAAATTCACACTTATATGATTGGTATGGTGGAAGCCCACAGTCAGCTGCTCTGTGTGGTGCATCGTGGGAGTGACGTGCACCAAAATATAGTTTCCTGAGTGGATCTGTGCTCCTCGCTTGTTGTCTGCGACACGTGCTCCTATAGTTGCCATCCCCATTATGATACTGCCCTGTGCTTATGTCCATGAATGACTGGTGCCTCCCGTGACTGAGGGGACACAATTTGTGGCTGGTAGCATTGGCGGTGAGGTGGTGAGTGGCGACCACCTGCAGAAGCTGGCGATGGTGCTGGCGGGGAGGGAGGGGGTTGCAAGCGGCAATCAGCGACTACCCACAGAAGCTGGCGGCAGCTTCAGCAGGGGGTAGGGGAGGGGGATGGGATTGGCGATCAGTGACCACCCACAGAAGCCAGCAGCAGTGAGTGGCAATCGGTGACTGCCGCAGAATGCAGCAGCAGCAATTGGCAACTGCCCGCAGAAGCTAGCGGCAAGGGGGAGGGATGGCAAGTGGTGACCGCCTGAGGAGCCGGTGGTGTTGGCCAATCTCGGGGGGGGGGGGGGGGGGGGGCCCGTCCCCCCCCCATACCCCCCCAACGTCCCCTCTGCTTGCGTGTACTGTCTGCTGTTGATGAGTACCAAAAATGTCTTGTAATGGTGGTAGAAATGGGTCTGGGGTGGGGAGTCCAGTCAAGGTCTTGGAACTTATCCCTATTTGTTACATTGTAAAGTGGGTTCTCTTTATGTGAATTCAAGTTATGCGCCATTTTCCAAGAATGCGTGTACATCATAAAATGAAGGAAAGCTGTATAGATAATTACCAAAAATACCCTATGTCATTTTGGTCTAGCAAATAGGCTTTTTTTCTTAAACTGTTCTATGAGACTCCAGCCACAGTGATCCTTCCTTCATTACCTGCAAGCTGGGCAATTTTAGACTGCACTATCTAGTGCTAAAGGCAATGATCTTTAGGAAGCTGCGCCTAATTTACCACCTCAAACAGCTTTCTATGGGTGCAGCCACTGCTTCCCAGCAGCTTGCACTGCATTCGTTTAATTCTGAAGAATTAGCTAGGTCTGGGGTTGTTTGATGTGTAAGAGATTCCTACCAGGCTTATGTCCATGCTATCTGAAGGACTGACACTTCTTTTGTGACCTACCACAATAGCAGCCCATATACCACGTGACTATCAGAGCCTACATCCCATTACTGGACAGACAATTTTTCTCAGTATAGGAAATAACAAGGACCCAAACAAACTCAGCCTAGTGATTGTTGCAGAGTTTCTAATGATTGTTCCCCTCAGTGGAAAATGGCTTTCAGAAGCCGCTGGGGCACGACCTCTAGACCAGGCATCCCCTGAACTCTCCACAGAAATGAAGCACTGCTTCCCAGGGAACGTCAGGCTTCTCTGAAGTGCCCTTGCTCCTCTCCCTCTTTTAGAAACTGTGGAGCACTATTGACTAGTCTGTACAAATTGCTTAACTTGAATGTGGAGGTACAGACACAGAGTGGGAATTCAGCGCTGCTGGCTTAGCTCTTTCCTAGAGATATGCATGTTTCTGAGAGCAGCAAGCCATGGAGAATGCTAGCTTCCTAATGAGTCCCTTTCAGAGCAGGAGAAGGGCTCTGTGGGCACCCGGGGAGCAAAAGTAATATGCAACAGAGGTGGTCTTGCCTCTTTTGCAGGCTCTTCACCCTATTTCTGAGCACATTTGCTCCCTCCAGCTTGTGTTGGTGGAGAGAAGAATCAGGTCCGCAGAATTTGGAAGATAAAAGATGCTCAAGGGCATTGAAGCAGGACACAAATACAATCCTGAGGCTGTGCAGGTGAGACTCCAGAGCCTTCTGCCGCAAAATGCCTGCACTAATCCACTCTTGCCCTACTTACAAGTATCTAAAAAGCCTGTCACAGGGTTGCTGTTTGCAGTGAAAGCCACTTTAGCTTTGGGACTGAGCACCAAAGGTTGTGAGAGAGAGAGAGAGAGAAAAGAAGGGGGGGGGGGGATTCCTATTTAATGTTTAAAATTTGCCATTGCTCTATATACCAATA